CTGCAGCAAATGCTTTAATTACATTCAAGTCCAAATCAAACTTCCTTTTGATTTTATAAAAAAAATGAAAAAAATGGAAAAAAAAAATGTTTCAACTATAAAATATTAGATTATCAGCATAACAAACTGTGTTTTCGTCCAGTTTATAAATTGACCATAAATTTCTCCCTGAATGCATTTTTGCTTCACTTAGTTAAAATTCTGTGAAAAGAACCTGTTCAGCACCTTTTCTACCCAGTTATTTACCCAAAAACAGATTAGTGGGCAGTATTTTGCAGAGCAGTGCGCTCCATCCTGAAGCTGAGCAGGGCGGCGAAGCGGTTGGAGGAAATGACGCTGCAGGTGTTCGGCGCAGAACGCAGCTGGAAGCTCTGAATGAGATCATGGAGGTGACGCCGGAGCTGGACCCCCTGCAGGCCCACAACATCATCCTGAACACGAAGAACGAGCTGTCCGTGGTGAGAGAGGCGGTCCGTGAACTCACCATGGTGCTGAGGGGAAACGGAGACGGGACCCTGACCAACTCCAGAGGATGAGGAGTGGAAGGACGAAGAAGAAGGAAACGACTCCTCTTAAAGGCACCGCTCAATTCCCAAGCTATTGATCAACTTTAGTAAATAACTCATCTTGTATCTACTCACATTAATTGAAATGTAAAAATAAGTAATCTTACACTATGCTTACAAACTGCCTGTCATGTAAACTTAAAACATGAAGTAATACAGCAGCTTAATGAAAGCCAGGATTAAAATTAAAGTAACTGTAATCAGTAATCTGATTACAGTTACTTTTCCAAAGTAACTGTTACTTTTCCAAAGTAACTGTAATCAGTAATCAGTAATCTGATTACAGTTACTTTTCCAAAGTAACTGTAATCAGTGATCAGTGATCTGATTACAATTACTTTTCTGTAATCAGATTTCAGTACATATTTTATAAGGGTATGATATTCTAATAAATGATGAGTGCATACATCTGAGATAGCTTTTCATGACTCTTGTTTATTTAAAAATACCAGATGTCGATCCAGTACCTCAGAGAGCCGTTCTGGTGCATTTTCAGAAGTGTACTGAACAGCCATTTTCCTGCACATTTCACGGCATATTTAGCCAATTTCCTGGCTTCCTGATTTGCAGCAGCTCTTTCTTCAGAAGACTTTTCCAGGTCCTGGATGTAGTCAGACAGAAAGGCTTGGAATTCGCCAAACTCAGGCCTAGACAGTCTGGTCACCGTTAGTCCAATGTGTTGAGCTAAACATATGTTCTGAATGGCATCCAGACGTTCGTTGAATTCTTCAAATGTCATACTTCTGATCCTTTTAAGATCCTCCAACCACTCTTCAAAAATGGGGTTCCTTTGCTCACTCATTGTTATTCTGTTCTGTCTGGACAAATACAATAAATGTTAAATGTTTTCTGTTATTTTTACGTTAGGAAGCGCCTTTTGTCCCAGAAAGCTTACCGTTTAAGTCCGTTGTTCAGAAATGAATCTTCTGTGTGTTTTCATAGTTCTGTAACGTTTGTCACTGTAGAATTCAGGAATTCGGCTTTGTGATGACACTAACTGATGTCACTGCCTCAGCAGAACAACCACAAAACTGCTGAAATATGAATAAAAACAACTTGTATTTTCTATTTAAAATTGTGAAACTAGGAAAAAAAACTATAAAATCCAAGTAAAAATGTTAAAAACCAGTCATTTTTATAAAAAAAAACATACATACATACTAGTTATAAATGAAATACCAATTGCTTCTGAGCAAGTGATATTTTCTGAAGATCTGTGATTTAAGACAACTGTACAATGTTATTATTTTATAATAACCTCCTGGTTATTCCACCAAATATTGATTTCTGAACTCTTCCTGAGTTAAAGCATCAGTATTGTTGTTTCTAAATGAATATGAACTTTTTTCTTTGCATTATTTGAGGTCTGAAAGCTCTGCATCGTTTTCGTTATTTTGACCATTTCTCATTTTCTGCAAATAAATACAACATTTTTGCTTTTAATTTCAGAGACATGTTGTCAGTAGTTCACAGAATAAAAGAACAATGTTCATTTTACTCATATATAAACAGTAAAACGAGAGAAACTGATAATTTAAAGTGGTATCTTGTCTTTTTTTCCAGAGCTGTATTGTATCTTTGAATTGTATCCTTCTTCTCTTTATGTGAAGAAGAAAAGCATCTTATCATAAATCTTCCCATCAGATTTAATCATTGAAATCACACTCAAGTTGAATGCAAAAATTATTTATTATTACTTGTTATATAAACATAATAATCCTGCAGACACTCTGTGTATTTCTGCTTATTTGGATGCAATATGACATGAAAAAGCACATTTTCATAGATACAGCTCAAATTAAGTTGTAAAGATTTCAATAACATCTTATTTCTATTATTAATACAATATATTTACAGTTCACAATTTTGAAAAGTAATAGAATTATCAGGGATTTCTATGTTATGTTATGTTATGTTATGTCATAGCTGAATATTTGTTAATTAAAACCAAAAGTGTGCAGCAAGAATAGAGACAACAGATGTGAGGAAGAGGAGGAGGCCTGGAGAGATGAAGAAGGGATGTGCGGCGTCATGGAGTTCAGTTAAACACAAAGCCTGCTCCAACATCTGGTGAGTCTCAGCGCTGATGCCTGAAAGATAGTAAACTTATCAAAAATTAAAAAAAATCTAGTTTATTTGTGTAGCACGTTTCAGCAACATGGCAGATCAAAGTGAAAACAAACAATAAAAAATCATAAATACATAAAATATGTTGGTCAATGTTTCATTTATTACGGTTCAACTTTAAACAGGTCGGATTTCTACTTTGATTTAAATGAACTCAGTGTTTCAGCTGTTTTGCAATTTGTTCCAGATTTGCGGTGCATAGAAGCTGAATGTTGTTTGGTTCTTGTTCTGTTCTGCATCCCCAGAACCAGAAGACCTGAGAGGTGTGGAAGGTTGATATGACAACAGGAGATCTTTAATGTGTTGTGGTGCTAAACCGGTCGGTGATTTATAAACTAATAGCAGCATTTTAAAGTCTGTTCTCTCAGTGTAGGGACTGTAGAACTGAGTGATGTCCTCTGTTTTCCTGGTTTTAGTCAGAACTCCAGCAGCAGCGTTCTGGATCAGATGCAGCTGCAGGATTGATTTGCTAAGCAGACCTGTGAGGACATTTTTGCAGTAATCAATGTGACTAAAGATAAACGCATGGATGAGTTTCTCTAGATCTTGCTGAGACATTAGTCCTCTAATCCTGGAGATGTTCTACAGGTGATAGAAGGCCGACTTTGTGACTGTCTTTATGTGGCTTTGACCACATTCACATCTAATACATCTAATTTAAATGAAATCATTTTCAGAAAGACTTAATTTCTATTTCTTACCATGTTGGGACCACTCCCTCCAGGCGTGCACATATGCAGGATCAAATTCCCCCTGAGAAGCTGTTTTAGAGTATTAAAAAAACAAACACTGCTGAGAAGTTTCGTTTTTGGAAATGTGTGCCAGGTCTACGATGTCTCCATTCCTACCTTTGGAGGTCTCTGTCAGAAGGTGCTTCAGCTCTCTGAGGGCTCGGGTGAGGTTCTCCAAGCGGTGCTGCAGGTGGAGGTTCTCTTCTTTCAGAGTATGGATGGTGTCCTGCAGCTCATACGCTGAGCTGCACCGCGAAAGCAGAAATATCCACCACACCACTGCAGTGACTTGTAAGATAGGCAGCATCTTTGAATCAATTGATAGCTAAACGTCCACCAGGGGGCTGGCCAACGAGGTACTGATGTAATCCTTCTGGTTACGTCTGCAGCTTCTTACTGCTTCAAAGTCTTGTGGAAGTGTTGAAGTTATTTAAGAGCTGGCCTCCCCCCCCCCCCCCCCTCTCTGTTTCTGAGTCAGAATCAATTCACTAATGGCTAAATAAATGATTCCAACCCACTTTAAATGATCAATTGTTCTGTTTTGGTTCTAAAAGACAAAATTAGTGATACAGAGAGCTGAATGTATCAATGATTAAATGGGGCTACATTGTCGTGTGATGTTAAAGTGTAATGAAGTTATAAAATATCCTGAACTACAGCTTAGAGATAAATACATAAACAACAATTTAATTGACTATAATCAGAGTTGGGTAGCAGCCAGTTACTCAATTACATTTATTTGTGCAACTTTTTTGAAAAAATATACATTTAAGAGTATTTTTGCTTCACTGTATTTTTTTTCTTTTACTTGAGTAATTGTAAAGTATCTCTACTCCTACTTCAGAAAAATGTCTGTAACTTCTCTGAATGAAAAACAATCATGTTTTGACCAAAAGTTCACCCAACACAGACACACACCTGCAGTTTTTTATAAGAAACTGAAAAAACCCCGCCTTACTTACAATATTAGAATTTAAGCAAAGTGTCTGAACTATGTTTCATTAAGCAGTTAAAAAAAAGGACCTCGCTGCAGCAGAAAGGGGCGGGGACGGACCACTGTTAGCCTCATACCTTATTTGGAAATGGGACCATTGCACTCCGGAAGTGAAGGGGGCGCTATTTTCTGTATTATCCGTTGCCTCCCGTTATTATTTTCTTTTGAAATATGTGATATATTTTCACCTTTAGGAAGGATTTTCACTCTCAGAATGTATTTGAATTCAATCTTTTATTTACTTCAGCGCAGCTCACAGTTTTTTAACAAATTCAGTAGTTTTCCGTGTACTTCTAAATCTGCTCCTTAGTCGCATCTTTTCGGGGTCTACTGCTGCCTCTAGTGGCGTGGGGGTGGTAACACAACTTAATCTAATTACATTACTAAACCAGAATACCACAAAGTCTATTATTATGCAATGGTCCCATTTCCAAATAAGGTATGTCTATGGGTATGAGCCTGACAGTGGTCCGTTCCCGCCCCTTTCTGTTTGCTGCAGCGAGGTGTACTTGAAAAAAAGGAGGCATGTTTGCCCCGGAAGTGGTAGATGAAGTTTCTATTTTGATCCGGGTTGATTTCCGGTCAAAGACGAGCAGGATGGCGACTCACATGTCGAGGTGCAGGACTTGGTGTCGGCTTCAGAGGTAACCGGTCCACACATTCTCACAGTTGACGCTTGGTGAGGCATTTAGGCAAAGAGGTGTACAAATGTCAGCCGTGCACGCGCGTCACTGTCACGTGCAGATGTTAAACGGTTGTCCGCCATGGCTCCTAGAGATTAGCCTGCAGTTAGCATCGAGCGTTAGCCTTCTCTTACATCAGTTTGTTTACGTCAGAAGGCAACAGTATCAATACTTTACAGTGATTTCTAAAGCCTATAAGGATATCTATTAGTTTTATGTGATATTAGACTTTCTTTTTCAACAGCTGCATGTTTATGTAATGTTTTGTTCCTGAGTTTGATCTGCAGAAGCTGCCCTATGATTTGGATGTTCTCACTAAATAAATCCTTTTATTTTTTATTATCTGTAGAGAGATAGACATGTTTTCTTGTTACCGAAAACGGCAAAACATCTGAGAAGTGAATGGGAGCAATTGTTAGCCCAGTGCTTTCATCAGTTCCTCGTTTCCAGAGTTCATTTATAATCTGGAAAAGGATGGAATTTGAGTTTAACACCTGGAAGAATATATTATCCTTTAAGGCAGCTGCAGGAAAATCTGTCGGTCAGAACAGTGAGTGGAGTTAACAAATGACAGAGGATGATAAGTAGCATTACGAAGGCTTTATAAAGATGAATAGGGGTCATTCTTTTTATCCCGATTCCTATTTTAAATTTATCATCTTCCAAACTGAATTGTTTACATGCGTTTGTACTAAATAATGTCCAAATTGAACCATTCTTTCTGGATTTCTAATTTGTTTGACTAAACAACAACTAACTCTGAGTGTCTTTAAGTCTGTAATAATACAGATTGGCTTTATATTTACAAAATTTGTAAGACTAGATTCTCTGCTGTCATTAGGGTGTTCCAGCTAGACGGAATAATCTTCTAGTTTATAATTTCTTCAGCTGTTTTTGCCCAAGATATTTCCACACTAAAACTAATTGCATTTCTTTTTTTAAAATTATATTAACCAAAAAAATAACTTGTACAGCTGGTGCTAATTTTGAAAGACTCCAAAGATGTTTCCAAACTCTAAACCTCCCACTATCTCTGACTTTTTCTACATTATTGTTGTTAAAGGTTTGGAATTGCAGCCT